CCCCCGCCTCCCCTATTTTTAGAGCAAAGAGCAGTGTTATCAGCAATGTCAGTGTTTTTGTGAAATTAATCTAGTAGGCATGTCATTATTTGAAAGGTAAAAAGTTAAATTTGGAATTCATGAAAGCTTTTGTCTGGAGCGCGTCCTGTCATGTCATCCTCTATTTATCTGCAGTGTAGGTATTATACAAACAGACACAGTACAGGCTTTCTCTGCATTATGTCTGGCCAGCAAGTTTCAACCTTGGCATATAGGTATCATCTCTGGAGAATCAGTTTCCTTTTGAGAATGTATGTCCAGTCGATGATAATGCCACTTGTGGGCTGAGACTAAGACTGAACATCACACCCCTAAGAAGCCACAGAACAACTTTCCTTTAAGTAAGGTTTTCAATTCCTGTCTATTTGGGGCAGAGTCAAACCCCTGACTGGAACACAAAGTTCTTGCTATATTCTCCGTAGGTATCCAGCGTGCGTGTTCACAGCTAGATTTCCAGAGGACTGCGAGCCAGTTGATGTTGTGTGAACATACTGAGCCTTATTCCATGATGCACAGTAATAAGACTTCATTTTCATTTACACCCGCCTATCCTGTTGTAGAAATCTATTTCAAATGTTTAAAAGCATGGCCCTCAGAACCCACCTCAGTGCTGGTACATGAACTGATAACACCTACAAGAAAATTTTAGGACAACCTGCATACTGGAATGAAAATACAGATGCAAGCACAACCACGCTGTCACATACATGAGCATGACAGGATTCTAAATTAATCTTCTCCTCTTGACTGGAGCGCTCAGTAAGGGTCTACTGGGAAACAAATTCTTTATCTAAGCATTTTTTTTGGAATATTACGTTTAATGATAGCATTTCATTTAGCATTTATGTTGACTTAATGGTCAGTGCCATGATGTACCTTGTGCCTTTGAATGGTAAAGATCTTTCCTGTGTATGGTATGGGGTGGGGGGGGAAGGAGACCAGACTTTTATGTAAGAGAGAGGAAAGAATGGGGCATTCTGGGCAATGTGTAAATGCTCCATTGAGTATGAGGTTCTACAAGATGCAGAGACTCCATTAAGGAAAGGCCACAGATAGACATGAGAATGGTTACAGAGCCTGTGCATTATCTCAGCTCTACTAAAATGAAAATATACAGTACAAACGAAAGATCTACAGCTTTGTGAAGAGATTGGGAGAGAAAGGAGGGGGAGCAACTGAATGTTGGGCTTTGCAAATGCATGCAACAGAAAATCTTTTCTTCCCTCCAGCCATTGTTCTATTGTCTTTCAAAGGCCATTAAAATGAACAGCAGGTTGTGATGAAAATTTCATTAAGCCCTAGTTAAATCATTATGAGGGTGCTATATTCATGTCTCTGCTTACTCCCCATCCAGGAAAAAATTAATAGGAAAGGGTTGGAGTTTTTTTTTCCCTTTCTCCTTAAAAGCAAACTAACAAAAGTTCAGAAGTTAGAAGAGAATGGGAAATGGGACATGAAACAAAAGGAGGCCAGAGAGGTGAGCTGGCTGGGAAGAAAATTAGACTTGCATAAGAGCATTGAAAGGTGGTGAGGGACAAATGCATCATTTTGACAAGTCTCCCTCCCCCTTCCCTTCAGCCAACATGATTGTTTTTAGAGTGGCTAATTAAAAGATATGTATTTCTGGGTGCAGATGGCAAGACTGTTCTTAGAGATCCTCCACAAATATTTTTTGAAGTACGTACTACTGCAAGCACAATGTCTTCTCTGTTTGAACTCCAGCAGAAAGCTTACTTATTGTCATGTCTTCTTCATGTAGTGCTAAAGTGAAGTTGTCAGTCATCCCTGATTGCTAGTCAGGTAATTAACATATTAATGAATTTCCCTATGAATAAGATAAGTTACAAGTGGGAATCTTTGGTAGTACATGTAGGTAACAATTCAACAATGCATGATCAGTGGTGTATTTCAGTAATGATTTTTAGTCTTGCTAGTTTGTGGAGCTTTGTAGGAGAAGAGCAAGAATCTTGATTAAGCCTTCCTGCATTATGTCAACAACAGTGCTGTAATACTTTATTTCTCTTTGGGAAGAAAGGGAAACGTTTGCACCAGTAGTGGAGGTTTAATTAAATCCATTTCCTGTGAATCTTTCGAAGACCAGATATGAGCCAGATTCCCATTTCTCTATGTACTCAAAACTTTATATATTATTTAACTTGTACAATGGGCTATGTTTGCTCTGTTTTTATTGTTTGAAATTGTCTTCTGAATTACTGTGGGAGATGTGCTTTTGAAGCATTCTTTCAAATAGCCTGTTTCTTCAAAACTGGGAAAAAGAGGAGGGGTGGGTAGACAACTTCAGGTCTCAATCCAAACTTCATATCAATGGGGGAAAGGCCCTTTCTTCTCTTAAAGAGGACAAGTGAGATATTCCAACGTATTGATAACAGGTCTGGCTGGTTTTAAGAAGCTTTATTGATATAACGTAAATGTTTTTTTTTATGTTTGTTAGAAAGTAAGAGTTAATATTTAGTAAATTTTGTCAGTGAATGACTTGGATATTTACAGTGTTGTGAAACATACATCCGGAGTGCACGGATGCCCACATGTATGTATGCTTGCTTATATGTAAGCACATACATGTACCCACACATGAGCTGACGTGGGAAGCATCACTGTTCATATAAATGGTTTCCATGCTGTTTTGTTGTATATACAACACCCTTTGGTTAGTGTCCCCTGTAGAAAACCATGTTACCTACTCATTCCTAAGAACTTCCCAAAAGCTTGTCACTTCCTTTTCCTCCTTGCACATATGTATGGTTTTGCTTTTCGTAAGGGTTTATACTTGGCTCTGAAGCCCCATGCTCTTCCCTGGCCCCCCTCAAACTTGCCATTTTACTCTTGCTGTGTGGAAGTATGTGACTGACCATGAGTCATGCTGACACGGAGAGACATGGAGCGTTTCAGTGAATCTAAAACTTGTGGAATTTTACTCATTGATAATACAGTGCTCTCTTCCCTTCTTTCAAATTCTGCAGAAAATCCTTGTATGCAGCTTTAGTATTAGACCCCCAAAGGCATAAACCTATTACTGAAGTCACACAATGTTATTTTACATGAAACATTCTGTCCTTTCTAACTTGAACTTCAGAAGAGGAGTCAGTCCTCTTTTATTCCTGGTATACAATAATGAAGATAATGGAGTGGGTTTGGAGAAGCCTTATATACTGTGACAAACCTCAAGCCCTTGCCCTGAGGGTCGTCTGCCGACCATGGGATTCCTTTTGCAGCTAAAATCATTAGGCGAATGAGATACAGGCATGTTTTTCTTCTGTTTTCTTAAGGCATCAGAGGATGGCAGAGGCTCTCTGTCTGTCTGTTCTCTTCATTTGTAGAAATGAAATTGAAATCTCTTTGAAGTCACTGAGCTTGACACAAGTTCATGAAAGCAAAGACCAAAGCAGCCACTTAGCTTTTTCTTGCACTATTAATGAGATTGGATTGCTGTATTTTAATTTATGGCCTGTGCTTGTGGAAAACTAAATCTCTGAAATCTATGTAGCCTTTCCTCTAAATGTATGGCTTGACTTCTGGGGGAAAAAAATAAATACACAAACAAGCAAATTCTCTCCTATTCTTAAAATAAGCCAGAGTACTCACTGGCTCTTTACATCTCATAACTTTTAATGAAGAATCAATCTTCTTTTTCCACTTTGGCAGTATATGTTTGTAACAGGTTATGTATGTGTTTATCTTCAAAACTTACACACTGTATCTTCTGAGGCCAGTTCTATGTTATTGTACAGAATTTGTAGGAATTCTGAATAAAAGGGATCATATGGACATCTGCCTGACCACAGAGACTGTGCATATGGGCATGTCCATGTGTGGGTACACTCATTCATCTGTATGGCTCATTCTTTATAATAAGGACCTCTGAAACTCAATTTGGTTTGGCTGTTTAAATGAATACTTTGAATTTGATATAAATGCACATACATACATACATATATATATATATAAAGTGCATGCATTAGATATATATATTTAGAAACAAATAGATATGAACACAGACACACAAGAATTGTGTACATATAGCATTTAATACTGTTCCTACTCCAGAATTTCAACTTACCAGTCCTTAGATCTTCTAGCAGGAACAATTAATCTCAAGTGTTTAGTAAGCAGGTAATATATATGTTTGCAAGGCTTTAAGAGGCAGTGTGAGTACTAGAACCTCATGTATTATATATAGTATGCTGCAATACTATAAGTAATTACTTTGTCAAAAAGAAAGGGATGAGAAAGGCCTCTCGGGCATGATTTTTGTCTTCTGAACATCCCCCAAAGGCTATTTATGTTTAATGTTTAAATTTACATTATAAATCACAACACCTGTTCTTGTGGTAATTTAAATGGCTGTTGTTTGAGCAGTTCGGTAGTCTATAAAAGTGAACCGTATTGAATTCAGGCTCTCTAGTTGAAATAAGATCTCAGAATATCACCTAATATTATCAAACTTTTAATCAACATATCTTGTAAAGAAATCAAGAGGTCTCCCTCTTTTTAAGCCATAAATTCCAAAGCAGACTATTAATGGGCACAAGAAGGGAGGCCTTTGAAATGCAGACTTTCGTTTTTAATCACATCTGATGAGATGGGAAGA